AGTAATAGGAGTAGAAACAGAAAAGTTCTACTCATCCAAAGTGTTTAGTTTTAGTAATAGCTACATCTATAGGAGTAGTAGTAATAGGAGTAGAAACAGAAAAGTTCTACTCATCCAAAGTGTTTAGTTTTAGTAATAGCTACATCTATAGGAGTAGTAGTAATAGGAGTATAGAAACAGTAGAAACAGAAAAGTTCTACTCACCCAAAGGAATAAGTGTAGTAATAGCTACATCGATACGAGTAGTAGTAGTAGGAGTAGAAACCGCAAGAATGGCTGAAAAGTTCTACTCACCCAAAGGAATAGGTATAGTAATATGTACATCTATACGAGTAGTAGTAATAGAAACAGTAGAAAAAGAAAAGTTCTACTCACTCAAAGGAATAGGTTTAGTAATATGTACATCTATACGAGTAGTAGTAATAGGAGTAGAAACCGCAAGAATGGCTGAAAAGTTGTACTCACCCAAAGGAATAGCTATAGTAATAGGTACATCTATACGAGTAGTAGTAGTAGGAGTAGAAACAGTAGTAGGAAGCCTCGGCGACATGATGACCTGTAAATAAATCCCATAAAATACATAGATAACACCTCCTCTTATCTTCTCTCTCTCTCTCTCTCTCATGCATTACAAAGATTTCCAGTAGCCTGTAAGACAGTTGTATTGGGGGGGGGGGGGGTTCAATTGCGTTTGAAAGAGGAAGAAATTGATGGTCATTCCATTCAACTTCACAAAATTGTATCGAAAGTATTCAAGTTTACTCAAGTCTTATTAATTTTTTTTTTTTTTTTTTTTTTTTAGAAAAACACGGTCTCTCTATATTCAGTAACCCTCCTATAATTTCCCTGTATTTTTTTCACAATTCCCTCACGACTTAAAAGATATTTTTCTACATATCTACACTATCAATTTTTTAAGCCAACCAACACTGGCAAGGGGCACAACTCCTTCCAATATAAATACATGAGTTGTTATTTTGGGGAGACAGTAAAATTTGATAGGAAAATTGTGTGAAAAATCTGTGATTAAGCAATAATAAAGGCCATACAAACTAAATAAATAATTCTATAACACGATTTTTCTGGCATCATTTGTCTTTAATAATAAGTTGTTCAATCAAAAAACTAAAAATGTTGCTTGAGATCACCTTTGCTTACCTATAGATAGAAGAAAAAACCAAATTCCCAAACTTAGGGACGACGCCATCTTGTATTGTTTCAGATTCGGTCTGGTAGAGTAACAGAAATATTTCCTCTCAGTGCCATTTCGAAACTTTAATCTTCATTCAATAGTGCAACTTTTAATCCGATTAACCTTACAAGGACTCGTGCACATGATATCCCTTTATAAGCCTACACACATGAATTTACTTTAAATAAAAACGGTGAAACATACGTGTTAATAGAGAACACCTGTTTGTGAAGAAAACATTCATAACAGTGCATGACTTTGAAGAATAATGAAATTCTTATGCGGAACTTCAATTTAATTTTCCAATTGAGAAATTGGGCTCCAGAGATAGCTTGAATCAGAACGAGAGATTGTCCTCGACTTGTTTCGTTCTTTTCTGAAATATATCGATACTCATAATTTCCCAAATATCAATATTTACATGTAGTTGTAGAATAATGGATATATTTAAATTATATTAAAAGAACTAAAGACAAATTTATAGAATGGGAGGAAAGCGCACTGTCATTTTGGACGAAGTCCATTACTGGTGCGGTCTTTCTTGTGAAAATGGGGCTTGGGTTGTTTCTTCCTAGGGCGAAATTCTATGCTAAGTTCATTTCACCGGGGGAAAGTCTAACCTGTACTCAATTTCCCTGGAGGAAAAAGCTATGTAGAGGGAAAGTCTATATTACAATACCGAGTCTTGGTTTACATTGTCACATCAAATGCTATTATAATACAGCTTGTAAATGGTTGTCTCATTATAAGTTCCCATAATATATTGCCGTTTATTAATTTTTCATCTCAAGGTGTTAGCGATTACTTGACTAGTTTGCAATTGTGATCATTTTCAGCTTGAAAGTGTTTTATTCATTAAATTTTCTACCACATATTCAGTGTCAGATATTCGACGAAACAACTACAAGAAATACAAGAATTAACAAATATAAGTAAATATACACACCATATGTATCCCCCTCTCCACCCCTTTCCCCCATCCCCCGTACGTTTGAGAATCATGTGATTCGACCAAAGTGAAAAAGTAAAAACAAGATTATTTTAGAGTGTCAATGTATCTGATAATGAAATAAGTGGGCGTCGTGGATTTTTTTTTTTTTTGGCAGATCTTTAATTTGCAATTATTTTGAGGTTTAGCTTTATTTTGACGAAGTATACCAATGCGAGTTATCGACCATTTTCCATAAATTTTTAATTATATTCGAGAATATCACAAAGTAGTTTTCAAATGAAACATTATTATTAATAAAACACAAAATAATATGATGGAATTATAACTACATGTAGGTACATGTCTTAGACAACCAATCCTCAGAAAATGCTTATGCTAGGTTTCAGTTTCATTTGAAAATAAATGATTTGGCCTTATAATATTCACAGCCAATTTGCTGCTGAACATTCATTTCTTAGACCTTTTTTTAATTAGTAGTCTCTCTTTAATCGAATGCGCCTATCTTTATATTGTACAAAATATTTCCATATCTGTGATTATTTTGGAAACGTCTTTAAAAAATAAAATTAATACGAAGCAAATCACAATCTCTAAAATGCATATGTTGATAAATACATGTATATAAACGCGTGTACTTAAATCTGAAAATTAATTTGGAGGAATGTTTCATATTTAAAATTAAACTTAAAACATTAAACCATTAACAGGTGTAGTTCTACAACATATTGCACTATTCACATAATTACGTTCCTGAAGCATCGTCTCTTGGTACCTCCTGTTGTTGACTATGTTTTATATAAAAATCTCTTTACTACCCTAACAAAAATACTTTGGTAAAGTATAGTTCACTAGAGTTAATTATAGTTTTCTATAGTATCTTACTATAAAAGTAAAGCAAAGTTTGTACTATACTTAATCAAAGTAATTTTTCTATGAATTTCAAATGGCTATATTCCATTTTCATAAGTATCTGATCTGTTTATCTATTAACCAAGAAGGGTTATATGAGGCATATGAGAATTAAGAAAAAGGACTGGTTCCGTTAAGCAGGACTTTGTGACATATATATATTTTGGCTGGAGCGTTTTGTCATGGTTATTCATTCTGGGATTAACATGTACATGTAGCTACACCACAGTTTCGAATGACAAAGTGAAAATTCATGGTATTGGTCTAGGTAAAAAATAAAAAAAATAAAAATAAAAAAAATTACTTCGACCAAGTGACTTTTTCCTAAAGACTGTCATCACCACACTCTCAACCCACTGCCGCCGAGCACATACGAGGGGTGATCAAAAAGTTAGCGAACTAATTGAATTACTTCTATAAAAGAAATAAAATTAGGTTTCAGTGTTCATTATTTTTTAAAGTAGTCCTTTCCAATTTTAATGCACATTTGCCACCTTTCTGCCCATGCGCGAATCACGTGATACAGGTGGTCACGTGACATGCTCCGTGGCGTTCTGTTCACAGAAACTAAAAGATTTTTCCAAGTCTTATATTTCTTACCATGCAAGTAATTTTTGATAACAAGAACAGTTCATTTGTCAGAAATGGCCAAGCCTCGGCAATAGGATGGTGGATAAGGATATCCTTCCCCAGAATGAGCATGGGGACCATAACAACCTGCCTTCTTTGACTTAAAAGCGTCGTTTATCCAATGTGGATAAAGTATGGGTGCTTTCTTTTTATCATATCTGATTTGTTTAAAGTCTAAAATAAACCATATTTTAGGGATTTGATAATTATGTTATTGTTAAGATATTCAACTATTTTTCTAACTGTGACTTGGCTATCTTTCATAACAAATTGCTCAACTAAGGACAAATCTCTTCCCCAGCTTGCTTTCACTTGGCAACAGAACAAACATCATTTTTACCATCTCCCTTCCTCTACTAAAACAATCAATCCAATTAATGATTGAACTTCTGAGAAGTCCTTTGTTGTCTTCAGAAACCTTGTACAAATTATTATATGCTGCTGCAAAGGAATTTCCAAGATATATGTCAAACTTCAGAGTCGTTCGTTTCTCGAAGACGACTGAGTCAACCATTTTTTGTAACAAGTCATCGTTGTTTTTCAAAAGACTGAATAAAAGAAAATAAGGCACATGTCAACTGTTTGTAAAAATGGAGTGCTTTACTGTTCGATTAAAAATAAGGAAAACGCCTGATATATTTTATGGAACTTTCCATACTTTTTTTTCTTTTGCTTAGTCAGGTATTCAGCGAGACGTGCTTACTACGAACAATAAAAACGGAATATGCCCGCCTCTCCTCCCCTCTCAAGCAAAGGTATCCAGTGCTTTACAATAGATAAAAATTCAAGGGATCTTCAATACTAGTACATCTTACTTTTTATTTCAGAGACAGTGTTGCATCTCAAAACAAATTTAATAATGCACATAATTATACAACTTTTACATATAAACAGAAAAATACATCAAAATTTACGAATTTATTGATATACGTGTAACAGATAAAACAACAAGTATAAAAAATTTAACGTTAACTTTATACATTATATAACATTAATAACGATTTTAAAATAATATATAAATGACTTTCTGAAATAGCTGGTATATATTTAGATTTTTTTGTTCTCACGGTTTACTTCATGTCCAGATTTAGTGAAGACGATTGAAATCTGACAAACATGAAATATTACAGGAAAAAGGTATTCAATGATACCAAAATGCTAGTCAGTATATTGTAGAAGTCGTGTGGGACAATGTACCTCGCAAGCAAAACTATAAACCCTACATTCACCTTCACTTTGTTATATGATTTACAAGGACATGTTACCATTTATTTTTCTGAAAATACAGTGCGTCTTTAGTAGTCTCTTGTTTCGGGTTTAGTATTTCGGTGGAGGATAACTCGGTGGCGGGTAGCCAGACCCAGGGCCAGGAGGGGGTGGATAGGTAGGGGGACCAGAAGGAGGGTAGCCTGCATTCGGGTTGTATGGTTGGGACATTCCAGGACCACCATACCCATAACCTGAAAAGTAAAGGCAGATGTGTTTAAAACTATTGAGATTAATATTGTTTAGAGATCTATCAAAATGAGACATTATAAAACGTTTAACACATTTTTGAATTAATTAATCAACTAAAATTTTCAACCTTCAAAGATTGGGTTGTTATGCGAAATTTGAGCCCTCCCCCCCCCCCCCCCCCCCAGCTGTTTCAGAATGAGTATAAAATTTATTGATACCAATTTGGAGTCCCTCAGGGCATACAAGTAAAGAATAATACACATAAGAAGAAATTCAAAATTGATAGCAGCAACACGTCGATATTAAAAGAAAAGAAACTAACTAAAGAAGATGATGATGATTATAGCAGATGGGGATTACCTTTAATTAATGCTTTAAAAAACATATATAGATAGCATACGTACAAAGAATTTGTAACATTCAGATTGATGATAATTATTGCATTAAAAGGTGTCAATTTTTAAAACTAAAATAATGGAGTTACGAGTGTTGATCCGAAAATATCTCCATAGATACCTTGTGGTTGTGGAGGTGGTGCTTGGTGCACGGTGGTGACTGTCGACACAGGTATGTGGTTCACCCTTCCCGCTCTTGCAGCCTGATGCTTTTTTATGAGGACACAGACAAAGACGAGGATTCCGACAAATACAATCATGCCAATAACAACACCAGCGATAGAACTGGCTCTGTTTAGATGAAGACAATGTAATATATAATAAACTTGGAAGAAACACTCTTGTTCATCATAACAATGGACTTATTTTGTGTGCTTAATACCAAAGAAAGAGAAGATTTTCAAAGATAAAAAAAAATTCCAGACAACATATCTTTAGAATTTGATCTTATATAATTTTAATATCAGTACAATAAGGACAATGTAATTGAACTGAGGCTGAAAATAGTTTAGAGTTCCTAACATTCAGACTTTTGTAATATTTGATTTAAAACAGTGAAAATTTCGATATTCGACAGAGGAAATTCGGATTGGAATGTTTTAATAAGCTTGGTGTTCAAACTCTAATTGTTTACTTGTATTTAACAACACTTTTCCAATTTATATATTAGTATCAAAAGAGTTCTGTTACTTTTGAAAAAAAATTATATTTTTGATAATAAAGAAATTGTTGGTCATGGTGTAAAAACATTATCCGAGAAATGCTTAGGGGCTACTTGCATAAAAAGAATGTCACTGACCTAGTTATTTGAAAGTGAATAACATTACAATCAGAAGTCTACAATGAAAATAATTAGTTTTTCATTCCTATTAGTGGATTTTTTTTTCAATTTTGTCATCTGAGTAAATGTCATCCTTAAACCGTTTTTTCACTTTATGTTCAGTAGAGCCTAGCTCGTCCTAACTCCAGATCCCTGTACTAGGGGGCCATGAACTTCACAGTCTGCTCAAAACCTATAGGAGCAGATAAGAAGGTATTCAAAGACTTTACCATTTTAATTATATGATCTATAAAGCCCCACCTCAACTCTAGAAATATCTCGCCAAACGGCCATGAATTTCTCAATTTTAGCAAAAGCGCTCTTGCTCATTGTAATCATGCACTTATTTTTTTTTTCTGCTACAGTGTAAATACCCAGAAGCAGAGAAGATGATTTTCATAGAATTGATACATTTTAACACTGAAACACTATATTTGAAAAATATCAGTTGTGTTTTTCACAGTGAAAAATATCAAAACTTCCGAGTTTCTTTTTCACAATAGTCTATAATCAATAATCTTCACAATAGTGTTATAAAAGAAAATTACTTTCTGTTATATGATATCGACAGTATATTACATGTAACCATCCTGAGAGGAACTAAAAATGACAAAAACTTTCCAAATTGTTGTTGGATTCCATGTTTACTATAACGATTACTTTAATCCTATGACGTCTCACATCTTGTCAACTATGTCACAGTCTAAGACACTTAGTTACCAAAAGACTGAGGCAAAAGAAAAAGAAAAAAAATGTATAAAAAAGGAAGAAAGAAAGAAAGATAAAAACCAATGTTCTGTAGTTCGATTTAGATTTTTTTCATTTGTGAGACAAGATTTGTTGACATTTTTAATCCTGCTTCGCAATTGTAAAAGTATCAAACAATCCTGTCTTTTGCACTCTTGAAATTCCTTATCCATCAACAACATGTTGAATATCCTCAATATCCTCTTAAATTCATATTTGTATAAAATTAGCAGGAATGTTTGAACAAACGCTCTACTTACCCAAAATAATAGGTATAGATATAGTAACATCTATAGGAGGTATAGTAATAGGAATAGTAGCAGTAATAGCCGGCCTCAGCAACATGGTGACCTGTAAATAGATCTAATGTATCAATACATACTGATAGGAGCTGTGTTAACCTTGTTTTAAGCATTGGGGATGTCGGATTAATACATGTTTCGAATTTCTCCTTCATTCACCAGGAGCATGATGCTCGGGTCTTCTAGTGTTCTAGTTGTTTTTCAACATCACTTGAAAGTTCAGACTAACTGTAGCTGCAGGTCTGTAGCGTTATGTTTTTCTATTTTATTTACATTACGGGATCTGTAGAGTTATGGTCAAAAATTAAAATATAAAACCATAACGCTACAGTTGTGCAGCTAACTGTTAATACGCACTTAAAACATCAAAGGAGGCGTTGATATTTTCAAAGTTACACAGTGAAATATTTTATTGAGACTAATTTGTAAATACCCTGGCCTCTCTCATTCTTGTCTTTACATGTACATGTGTATGGCCATTTTAAAAGGCTCAAGTCTTGAGAACAGTGGCATCCATAAAATTCTCAACTCGCGAACTTGATTATTATTCAGTATCTATCTACAGTACAATCTCGGCGTTATTCTGGTCTAGTACTACCCCTTCTCAGGAATTATCCAAATACACTGAGTAAATGATATCTTTAGAGTCTCTTTTGAAACATTGATAGTCAACTATAGTCCTAGCAATTTTCACAGATTTTCGATATAAGTACAATCATAAAACGTGAACATGTATTGTCAGGTTTAAGCTATGGTTATGTATTATCCAACTAAGAAACTAATAATTTTGGTGGAGATCATTGGCTTACCTAAAGATAGGAGGAAAAACCAAACTCCCAAAGTTAAGGACGACGCCATCTTGGCGTAATGTTTCAAATGGCCCTTTCCAGCTTAGTTGTCGAATTTAAAATATATTTTAAGTTGCTATTTCCATTTTTAATCCTCATTTAATACAGTCAACTTTAATCCGATTTACTTCAATTTTGAATCATCTACACGATATACCTTTAAATAAATACGGTAAATATGTACATATATCGAGCACCTGCTTGTCAGGAAATCATGTTTAATCAGAACTAGAGAATAATGAAAGTAAGTATTAAACTTGTGATAACAAATTACGGAGAAAATTAAACAATTCAAAATTGTCCTCGGTTATTTACTATAATTGTGTCTACTGTTAAAAAAGATGTTAGCCTGTAAATATTTGGGTAACCAGGGAAGAAACCACAATAATTTTATAATTTACGCAAAATATATAAAATATGTCAAATTGTTCATAAAATGCTCAGGTGAAGATGTAGCCTTGGGCCTTTTATTTCATTTGCTAAATTCATTACCAATCTGAAGTTACATAATTTATAATTAATGACTTTAATTCTGTTTCTGGAATTCCCAAAAATGATAGACTCTGTAATATCTGTAATAATGGACAAATAGCTGATGAGTATCACTATATTTTAGAATGTCAATTTTTCTCAGAATGCAGAAAAAAGTATCTACCTAGTAAATATTGTAATAGACCAAATTTCTACAAATTCTCAGAATTGTTGTCAACTGTTGACTCCAAGGTATTAATCAAACTATGCAGCTACATAGATAGGGTATATGAACAAGTCTGTCCTCCATAATTATTATTATTATTATTATTAGTAGTATTATTATTGATTCTCATTGGTTAAGAAATTAATAACATTAGCAACTTTAGATTGCTGTTAACAAACGATGACATGGCATAAGCCACACCTCTTTCCTGTAAGAAACGATGTAATTGGTTCCTTGCGTCACTCGTTGACTCTGACTCATTTTTATCCCATGTGTATTTCACCCGTGAATGAAAAGCTGTGTAAATTTCAGTATTAAAAAAGCTAATCCGGCAACCAATGAGAATCTAGGTCACTATTTTAGAGACGCTAATTATGTATCGCCGAGAATGTCACGCCTTACTGAAAGTTTAAGGAGAAAAGAGTTTTGTACTAAAAAACACCGCTTAATGATAGAAATACAACGCTTAATGATATATTTCTTTCATTAAGCGGCGATTTAGCATTAGCGGTTGAGAATGTCAACTATTAATGCAATAATTTATGACATTAAGCGTTGCATTGCAGCGCTTAATGATATTTCTACCATTAAGCGGCTTTTTATCATTAGCGATTGCTACAAAGCATTCTCAGGTAGAGTATATTCAAGTTTGTTCAAATATTGTTCCCTTGGGATAGGGTGGAGCCACAATAGTGATCATAGTTTTACAAAGGAATATACATATATGAAAAAAAATCATTTAAAATCTTTTCTTCAAGAACCACTGGACTAGAAAAGTGTAAACTTAAGTAAAAGCTTCATTAAATATGTATTGTATATTCCAGTTTGTTCGAATCATGACCACCGAGAGTTGGGTTGGGTTACAATAGGCGATCAAACTTTTACATGGGAATATACATGTACATGTATGAAAAAAAAAAAAACAACTTTTTTCTCAAGAACAGCAAAGGCATATATATACGTGTTATGGAAATTTCAGAACGATGAATTACCAGCAAGTTAAAAAAAACAGCGAAGGGAAATATTTGACCTTGTCGTCACATAACATTTACAATATGCAGAAGTTTACAGACTGTATTGCTATTTCATACCTGAGAAAAATAACTGTGTAAAAGATGCGTTAAATCAAATTCGAAATAAAATTCATTCTTTGGCAATTCGATTTTCTTTAATCTACCAACATGCATACCGGATATACTTAGAAGCAATCAAGTTTATGAGTACGAATACATGTATTTCTTAAATAGTTCTAATTCATGTTAATGTTGCATGATTAATGCATGGAATTCAAATTGGTTTGAATCAAAGTATTTCCATTTGAAAGAAGGACAGAGAGCGTTCACTGCTCCTGTTGATATTATTATACTTTCATGTTAAATATAAAATCTGATTGGTTTAGACGCATTGAACAATCCATAATGTTACCCTCAGCGTTAGCAAAACACTTGACAAGGGGTAACATTACGAAAATGTCACATGCGTTCAAATCATGCGCGTACGGTTCACAGTAGAATTCTCAAAACGTCAGTTGTGCGTTTGAAAGAAGCCGAATAAATGACGTCAATAAAAGCTTGCGTCCGATGTAGCATACTTGAAAACAACAAACGACAGACGAAACATCCTTGCGAGTGCAAACTTTAGATGATGAAGGACTTTTTGAGTAGCAAACAAACAATAAAGAGGTTGGTAAATCTTTTCCGAAGCTTTCTTATTGAGAAAAATAGAAGCAGGGAGTTTGAAAGCTTTCTAAGCGTAAACTTAACGACGATCTCCGCATTTTTTTTATGACATTCGAAATCAATAAGGCATTCAGTATAATGAAATAAATAGTGCACGTTTTTGAGGGTAACAGTTTCAACTGTTACCCTCAAAAACGTGCACTATTTATATATCATGTAAAAAAATAACATTTACTGTTCAAATAACAAAGCATTACCCAGGAATCAGAAATGCATTGTAAATTAATATTTCCGAAACATTGTATTACTCTTGCTCTATGTTTATTATCTTGCATTTCGCGTCAAACATACTAGTCTTAGACAAACAGGAAACATTCATATTTAAATGGAACTTTATTTTCTTCATATAACAGCTCCTTACAAACACTCTTACTTTACAAAAAAAAAAATCAAAGGATAACAAATAAAAACAGAAATAAACATAAAAGGGTCAAAGAATTAATAAATATTGTGCATAACACTGTTTCATATATGTCACATGCATGGAATTTACATAATTCCAACTATACAGCATGTGTTAGTGTGCAGATGACAATTTAAATATCAACGTATGTACATCTCATTAGATTTATGGCACAGCTATAGTGAAAATGGAAAGATCAAACCATTTTGAAAAGGAACTTCCACATATCCTGCATTTTTCAGGATATATGTATAATTATACTTATGTATATGGCCACCGACTGAGACAAATCCCAAGGATCTGATCGTCCTGTCAAATAAAATATATCATAGATGCTCAGAAAATTGCTTGCGTGTATCATGTTGCGCAGAAATAGTAGCACCTTATACAAGACTGTGGGGTCATGTAACTGGCTAATCTAGTCAATATGGACGGGATTGTTGAAATTATCATACAACGCGTACATGTATATATAAAGCTATAAATACAGGCACGTAGCATCAGAAGGGGGGTGGGGTGGTGGATGCCCTCCACTTTTTTCAACCATAACTTTTACTATTGAAAATGTCTATTGAACGGCTGCCCCCCCCCTTTTTGTTTTTTATTTGTTGCAGAATAATCAAATAAGGGTAATGTAGTAGGGTATGGATAAAATGAATAAAATTTGGTACTGAAAAAGTTGGAACCTACCTAACCCCCCCCCCCTCCCCCCCCCCCCCCTTCATGAAATAAGGATTTTTGGACAACATTCCTTTCTTATCTTCCTTTTTTTTTTTTTTTTGCTATCACGTTTTTTTCTCCAGGCAAGTTGAATTTTTTTTTTCTATGGCTGCCCCCCCCCCTTTTCAGAAACGATGCTACGTCCCTGAAATACATGTAGATGAATGAATGGATGGGTGAAAGAATGACTGAATGATATATACATGGATTTTGATTGTTGAAAGGTATTGTTCATATAATTAATCATCTTTTTCTAGTTGTAAAAAGTCCAGAAAATTTAAGCTTTTGGCGGGAGACCGTTAGATTGCGGATCACTAAACATGCTTCCATACACGTTGCCACTAGGTCCCGATGCTTGTTGCGGTGGTGGTGGATAAGCTGGGTTGCTGTAAGTTGGTGGAGGGTATCCAGGGTTGCTGTATGCTGGGTTGCTGTATCCGGGGCTGCTGTAACTTGGTGGAGGAGGAGGATAGCCAGCTGGTGCTATAATACAAAATGAAAACTCTCTTGAAACAGAACGTAACGAAAAAGATGTCTTTCTCAACGAGAAACCGGGTTCTTATTATAAACTCATCTTTTAGAGAGAGAGAGAGAGAGATCATCAACTTCAAAACATTTATCATCTGTGGGATTGATGTAATTTGTGCTTGGAGAAGGTAAATAATCCTTTGTAAAATGCATCTGTTTAATATTTAAACGATATTTTTCAAGAGTACATGTACATAGATTTGTCATAACATAGGTCGAAGAATAATTACCTTGGGGTTGCATATACATGTTGTTGGAGTTGCTTACTGTGGTCACCGTGGTGGTTCCGGTGGTGCCATGAATAAGAGTTCTACCTCTATTCATATGTTTACAGAAAATGATGGTCACGACGGTTACAATGATAATGAAGATAATGACACCGGCAATAGCTCCTCCGATGACAGCACCCCTGTTGATGAAAAATAAAACATTTCAAGACAGACAAAAGGACAATACGATAAAACAAAAGATGATTACACTCGCATCCCTCCGATTACAGCGCCACTGTTGATGAAATCAAAAACATCCAGACAGACAAACGGACAAACATTCGTACTTAAATCAATACGTCACCTTCCTTTAGGGGAGACATACATGTAACTACATGAAACATTTAAGATCACAATGCATATCAGTTACATGTTCAGAAATATTCTATTTTGCAAACTTTCATTATAAGGAACAGTTCTCTCACAGATAATTCATGTACTCTGTGGGCAATTGATTTGAAATAAACTTTATCTACTAAGAAAAACAAAAAACTATGGGCTGTCAAGAAAAATCGATCATTTTATCATTCTATTCTTTAATTTAAAAAAAAATGATGCGAAAAATTATTTCTAAATAAAAAAACCTTTTTTAAATCTATTTCATGTTACTTAAAAATTGCTCCTCTTTATGTTGGTCGGTATACCAACAGATTCCCGATCAATATCTAGAAAATCCTATGTTTGACTGACACCAAACATGATACACTTGTTCCCTCTATAGAGTAGATGACCCCTACTGTTTTTGAGGTACCGTAGTAGGGTCAAAGATCAAAGTAAAACTATTCAAGACCTAAGAATATATTTTCTACTCCATACCTTTACTTGACTGACATCAGACTTGGTATACTGTAGGAGTTAATACCCCCCTCCCCCTTTTTTCTTTAGGTACCAATGTCGGGGGTCAAACTCAACACCGATAAATATTATGAGAACCCTCTGCTTAATTGACAGACATCGAACTAGGTAAATGTACACTGGTTCCCACTTAGGCGTGATTTAAGGTAACAAAGGTCAAACTGGACATATGAAGATGTTGACCTCTCAACATTTCTATTGTAAATAATCCCGAATAATATCGAGGTGTTTGAGAGACTTGTAAAATAATTCAGTTCCTTTTTTAAAACTACGAGGCATTCCACATTTAAAGTTGACCCTTTTTAATATTGCATAATTGGGGGCATATATTTTCAAAAACATTTTTTTGTTATAGAAAATCAACGATTCAACAGCAACAAACAAAAATCCGTCATAGATATTAGGCTTTGTACTTACGAGGAATAGTAGGAGTAGTAGTATCTACGGTAATAATAGTATCTCCTGCTGTAGGCAGCATAGGCATACTGGACAACTGAAATAAATAAATAAATAAATAAATAAATAAATAAATAAATAAATAAATAAATAAATAAATAAATATCAAGCAATTAAAATTAAGTATTACCTGGAGAAAAGGCCAAAATAATGATATGCTAGGTGTTTTTCTCTTGACGGAAAATTAGCTATTTATTAACCACTTTAAAAGTTTATAAACAGTAAAATGTTATAGAAAGAAATTAAATGAAGTCTAAATAACGATTAAATTATCTATTACTAGCTCTATCACAGTGTCATGAATACCCACGGGTTATTAAAAGTTAAAATTGTTTGAATGTCTTGAAATTAGGGATGTCGACGAATATTCGAACATTCGAATATTCATTCGATAAGTTGATATTCGAATATGAATTTAAGATTCGAATATTCGGTGTTTTTCAGGTTTCATATAAAAAGAGTACTGTGATTAATAAATTTTGATTGGAACAGTGCTGAAATTATCCCTATTTAATCTACTAGCGATCAATTTCGATCGCCCGATTTCTTTCGCTATTTTCTTATCTTATATAAATCTACTATTATTTTGTTTAAGATTTATACAATAATGCTTTATGTATAATACAAAACGTACTTTCATAGTTTTTCATAGTTTTTATTAGTTAAATACGATCGAATCTAGAATCGAGGACAACGAAATGAAAACCTTCTTAGAATGTCTACAAGACGTGAACAGTATACTTATCAAAACAAATTTAATTGATCATTCAAATAAATATCCGATAGAATTAGTCTGTAATTAATATTGTAAAGGGCTCAATTTTAGAATAAATGAGTAAATTACTTGATTATCTCAGGTTGTACATAATCCTGAATTTTATATTCATTATCGGGAAATTAGTCAATTACCTAGGAAAATTGTCTATGAAATTGTTTGTTTATATTTTTAAAACATTGTATCGAAGATTATAATCATATCTCTTATTAGGCTGATAAGTGTAATTAATTACACGTATTGAAATCTGAACAGTATACGACTATCTTGCCTTAGGTAAGACGACTGGTTCCTCATTTGGAGCTACTATAAATACACATGTATCATTTGTTAAAATTATACTTTTCTACATTTAAATCACTTATTTATTTCAAACATTGACAAGTACCAAATGGAATCCCTTATTGTACACCTACAAAAGTTTTCATACAATTTTATTTTAAAATATAAGAATACCTACACTAAACCTTTCATGAGAGTAGGATGATGCATTCAAAATATACCAGATTTTATTTATTTTATCGAATATTCGAATATATTCGAATACTTTCATTGAATATTCGAATATGAATTATTCAAAAAATTGACATCCCTACTTGAAATAAAAGTTAGAAGTCTCCCATCACAGAATTTCAATAACATGTATTTCGTAAATAATATTTTGAGAAGTAAACTATTTATAATAAAACAATGGAAACTGTAAGCGTAATAGAATTTAATTCCAGATTCGATGCTTAATGTCAAACTTAACGAAAGAAAATCTATATTTCGATTTTTTTTTCTTTTTTTTTTTACTGCTTACGTGTACAGGAATGTTGTAAATAAATCAATTCAACAATATTTTACACATTACTGCTGATCTGGAGCTCAAATAAGGGATTTTATTATTTAAAATTTTACTTAATATCTAATTTGTTTTTAATTATTTTATTTTATTATTATAATTATTTTTTTTTTGTAACGACAAAACACAGTTTAATATATAGTTAAGTTCTTTCCAAGTTAATTCCTTCATGTATCAACAAATCTAGATATTTCACAGATTATTTAATCTGAAAAATTTAAATCTGTCATCTGTTAAGTTTTCTGACCGCGGTGGCATTTAATTCTTTGTTGATGTTTATTGTGTTGTTATCGTAACGACTGCCAGAAAAACATGTCACTTCCTGTTTACAATGACGATCTATAAATAAATATTCAATATATAATTTTTTACCCGTCCAAATAACAAACTCCGGTTGACTTTATTTTTTATTAATATTTTCTTTAAATAATGAACAGCTCAAAGTAAATGTAAACCTCAATGTGCGATGTACAGGTCAAATAAGGGGTGAACTTATTGGTCATTTAGAACAAATTATGTACCCAAGTATATAAAAAAAATAATAATCACGGACTCATTTCAGGGTTTGTCCACAGAATATCAACTGACAAAGAAGAAAAGAGTGTCAAATTTTGTAACAAAGAAAGTATTTTTAAACGGTTGAATAAGCTTATCGTTATTAAAATCTGTCTTTGTAAAGTTTCATATAGTTAACTAATTTAAAACAGTTTCAGGTAAACAAAAAATATTAATTAAACAATAAACGAGTCTAAGAGTTGACTTACAGAGTGTGTTCAGCAGCACAAGGATAATTCCAAACAACTTTTCGGCCGACATTTTGAGGATATTGATCTTCTTGCAGAATTTCAAAATACCAAATATAAAATTTCATTTAAAACCCCCGTATTTACCTAATGAAGTTTGAACATACTGACAATGAGGTGAGCCGTGCATGTGTACTTTTTATGGCAGATCCACTGTGACGTATTTAAACTTGAAAGAAGCTGTGACGTATTTCATAGGTGAACGATTTGTAATAGAATCGAATAAGCACATTAGGCGCAAAAAGGGGGGGAGGGGGGTTCCTCCTATCTTCCATTAGATGACCAGATTTCTAGTTCTTTTTCATATGAGATAAATTTAGATACTTCGCGATGTCTTTTTTATATGGGATTTGTTTGTGCAAATAGATAAATAAATTTATAAATACATAAATATACATGTAACAAGTGTATTTGAATTGTACTTTTTTTAAACCTTGAAATATTCGTATTTGTCTATAAGATGTATATTTATAGCATAGATAAAAAAAAAATTATCAGCGATCTTTATTAGAAAAAAATTTTAAAGAATAATTAAAAAAAAAATAAAAATAAAAATAAAAAATTAAGGATTAAAAAAAATAATTCGTTTAGAAACCAGCTGTGTAGAGGTTTTATGTACAGATAGACAGCCGGACAAATGGAAACATAGTATCTTCTGTAGTTATAAGAGCTGTAACTCCGGTAAGCAGCGAAGGCATACTGGACAACTATAATAAAAAAGGACTTACAATGTAAGTTAGAGGATGTTGTGGATCATTTTGATTCTAATACGACTTACTGGATCAGTGTTTCAATTTAAATCATGGAAAACACCGTCAGTGCCCTTGTACGTGTTGGTAGTGGTGTGTTCCCACCACTTTTTGTCTGAGAAAAAATCTCCTGGAGGTAATATTTACGGTAATTTTTAAGGTTGAAGTTTTAGTTTTGTCAAACGACCTTTTTTTTTTTTTACCTTTTTTGTGGGGCCCCACTTTTTTTTTTAAGAAAAGTTCTACATTAATTGCACAGACTTGCTGCTTATAGTTCTGCCTAGCGTCAAATTAAATTCGTCTCGAGTCAAGTACTCTTACTGTTTTCAAGATTTCATTATAGAGCTTAACTTTAGGAGTCCTGTGCTCTAAATATTTCACCAAATCATTGATTAAGTCCACCTTCTTTAACATTCTTTTCAAGCTTTTGAATAACTGAATGCTTTTATAATTTCATTTTCCCCTCAATGACTTGGATTCTTACTTAATCAATTTTATCACTTATCTTTCGAGTATTTATTTTCATTTAACCTGTGGTAACTGTCCAAAAAAAAAAAAAAACAAAACAAAAACCATAGATTATTGTCGAATATCTCTTCAAAGTCCTTCGATGAATGCATGTATAAATGTAACTGTTTGAAGTGCTTTTACCACAGTTGCGAAATTGTTTGTTTGTATGTTGTTTAACGTCCCTCTCGAGAATTTTTCACTCATATGGAGACGCCACCACTTGCCGGTGGAGAGCTGCAAATTTTGTCCTATACTCGGCACTTACAGCCATTGAGCAGTGAGGGATCTTTTCGTGCCAGCAACTTCTGCGACACGGGACCTCGGTTTATACGGTCTCATCCGAAGGACCGTTCTCCACGTCCTACAGTGGGATTCGAACCCGCGACGTAAGGATCAACTCCTTACTCCGCGACTCTAGAGCAGACTCTCTAACCACTGCGCCACGCAATTGCGAAATTCAAGCAGCTTTTTATCTGAAAAAATTAGAATGTTACCAGCCCTTTCCAGCTGTACATGTGGCAAGTTAATGATACATGAAATAATGAATGAAATGTTTATAACTTTATCCTTGTTGGCTTTAAAGTTCCCGACAGTCAAGACTCATCTCTTCAGTATAAATTTACAATGTAAAGTCTAAAAATCGTTAGTGTATATTTACTGCATGGAAGATATCTTATTTTTTAAAACATTTCCTACTTGGACAAATCTATTAGAGGTTGTTTTGTCTTGCACTGTCTAGGATCGAAGCAGGTCACTTTTTGTATACAACGACAACCTACTAACCTAAATAATGGAAGGATTAAATAATCAATAGACAAACTATTTTTCACCCTTGCAAAGGTAATGTTTTACGATTGTATATTGGTTAAATCATTGTTGACTGCGACAATATGTTACATTGTATTTAGTATTTTTAGAACATGCATTCATTGCTACTGTTGAAATGGATTGAAATTAAATCTGTAAACCATTGAAAAAGTACCAAAAGAATTGAAACATTTCCATTTACCTTAGAAGTTTATTGACCAAATATTATAAATTAAAACTATGCGTCAAGGTCCAATTTTCATATTATATAATTAGAAGAATTTCCCGCTTTCGTTTCATGAAAATATTGTTTTAACTTTATTATTGCCTGACACCACTAGTCTGGATCATCAAGACGCTTCGGCTCTATCGCGAAGTTTATGTTCAATCTGGATGATCGATACTATGACGCCACGACCGTCTTTCAAGTTAAGGATCAATTTTTCCCATGGTGCAGTACTAATGCTTGACGGCTAGCCAGCTAAATTTTGTGCAAGCTGATTTACATCAGAATTTTTTACCAGCGTTTTAACAACAACAGTTACCAGAAAAAAATCTATTACTGATGCAAAATATTGATGTGTTTACTTTCTTTGGTTATTTAACATGTAACTCTTTATTAAACGCAATTTCCTAAAATGGACATGCCCGTGTAACTTTTTTGTCTGTGTGTCAGTCCATTGGAGTAACACAATCATTTCGCGCCAATGCCACAAGTAAATATTCGCGCCTTTTCCTTTGAACGTTCTATTGAATGGTTGTGATAACTTCCATGGAATATTAAAATGTTTGGTTTGCGATTACAGAGGCATAACTCTTACGCATCATTAAAGTGTTTGAAACCGGCGAAATTTAAACTAACGACAATAAACATTCAATCGCTTAGGATTTTCATTAGAAAAATTATACAATTAAAGTGCAAGAATCACTGAAGAATTTAGCGGACATCTTCAAGAAGTTTAGCGTGATGCACTACTGATGACCAACAAAAGAGGACTAGTTTATTTTCAAAACGGATCTAGACAAGTTGCACGGTCAGTCGGGCCAGCAGGAAATAGTAGCAAAGAATCGGATGTATTTACATCATGCACTTCATCACTTCACTAAAACAGGGGGTTAAAGTCAAACACCTTAAGAGTAAGTATCAAAACTTTTCAAAACTTCTCCCTAATTTACTTATATGCACTGACTACATACATATGAATAATTTTTTTTTTTATAAAATTCAGTTTGACGAGTATACTTTTGACAAAATAGTATGAATAATGCTGAGAAAGCCTGATTTTTATATACAGAACCTGTAGAATAGCCTCTTTTTCCATGGAAAAAATCCTCTGATGAATCGCAAACAAGTTAAACTTAGAAAAATCATGTTGTTATGTTCAAAACCTTCGAAATATAGATACATGTAATGAAATACTTTGACTCCCACCACCCCAAACCCCCTCCCTCCAAAAAAAAAAAATAAATAAATAAATAAAATTTAAAAAAAAATGAAAAAAAAAAGTTTATTATAACAGATACTGATTTAGTCAAACAAACTTTTTGAAAAGATATTACTTGTTATTCGTGTAATTTTGACATGATTAATTTTATGTCTGAATTATTCAATCAAGACTAATTAAATTTTTAATCAATTTTCAAACTTTACTTACAGAGACTGTTAAACAGAACAAAGAAAATCCCAAACAATTTTTCCGCAGACATGTTAGGATTAGGATATCGACCCCTGGACAGAATTTCAGGATTACGAAAAAAAAAGGAAAAGATTTAAATCCCCGTTTGTGCCCAAATCATTTTTTTCTTTTCTATTTATGCAGCCTTTCATTCTGTGCAGAATTACCTGAAATCAGATCCGCTGTGACGTGTGGCATAATTATGAATAAAGAATGTATTGATGTGGAATCGATTTAGCAATAACACTTATCCTTGTATTCTTAAATGCAAAGTATAGTGTACTCAATTTTTAAAATAATTATTAATGAAAATGAAAGAGAAGAACCACAAAACAAAGAATCACTAAAGATTGATTCATAATACAATAATTATATTTGTGTACATACTTAATTTTAAAAACAGACAGTGAGCTAGGAAGTCTGGGATCTAACAATTTGAGTTCAACTCTGTTTGAACAAATGATGATTTATATGTTTGCAGTCTACATTCGAGTATATAATAGTTTTAAGAATGAATTTTTTGATGTCCAGTGGAAGGTTTGCATCGCATGTCAGATATAATATGCTAATGAAAATGACAATGTATTTATTCACATAAACTGACAATGCTTAATACGTATATGTGCACAGTATGGCAGGGATACACGAATTATAGTTAAATACAAGCATGCGTGAAAAAAGTACAGTTTTTTTTTTTTATAAATATCTGACGATAGACTAAACAAGATTGAATCTATAAACCATTCATTAGGACATATGAAATACATTTTTTGAATTTTTTTCATTACTATGCTCTTAAAGGTTAGCAAATTAAAATCTGATAAGATGGGTCACGCTCTGGTTTTGTTAGATTTTGTAATAAGAAACGTATTTTCCTTTCGTTGACTAATAAAATATCGTTTATTTATTTCAATTTTAATTTAGATAGTACCATTCCCTAATATATTAATTGATTAACCAATTTGAGATTTACTTACAGTGGCTTTTATGTGGTATAATGATAACCCCAAATGTAATTTTACTGCAAACGTATCAGAATAAGGACATCGATATCTGCAGATGTTCAGGCATCGAAAAAATACTGATTTAAAATCCCCGTTTTCACCCAAATTAAATTTTGTGGCGCAGTTATACTCCTTCTTATTCTGTGTATGATACTTCAAAACGGATCCACTGTGAAGACTGCCAAAATGGATTAAGTGATTTGAAATCGATTTGGCAATAACTCTTCGTTTTATTTTCTAAATAAATAGGAAATATTGCGTTTGTTTACTCAACTTATAAATAAGACATAAAGACCCACCAACCCCCCTCCACAAATAATAAACCACAAGAAAATAAACAAATTATACATACTTTAAGGACTC